GGCTGGCTGGGACATGGAGCCGGCACCTAACAAAAAGGTTACGGGATCATGCCCTGCCAGATTTTAACCTTCCCTACTGCAGCCAGGGCTGTGCACCTGAATGAGATGTGGAAACTACACACAAACTACAAAGGAAGCATAAAAAGATACTGTGATAAAGCAGCCATATATTTACTACTTCTTTTAAGGGACCAAAAATGACCTGTTTGGTTTTTTTTCAACTAGCTGCATGGAAATACCATAGAATCATATGGTTGGAAGGGACCTTAAAGATCATCTAATTCCAACTCTCAAATCTTGCCCTTATGTGAAACAGATATATAATTATAATACAATGGAAAAAATTACATCTATGTACACAGACTTTTCAGTTCCTTAGGGTTTATGACAATAGGATTATTTCTGCTGGCTTAGAGTAGAAAAACCTAATGGCAATGCTAGCTAACAAAAGAGCTACTTCTTGAAAACAAGTCTGATGCTGTAAAATACAGCTTGAGCAAGTCATTAATATACCAAATTAATTAGAACTATGGATTGGTTTGGGTTGCAAGAGACCTTTAAGATCATCTAGTTCCAACCTCCTGCCATGGGCAGGGACACCTTCCACTAGTCCAGGTTGCTCAAAGCCCCATAATTAGACAGTTACTCATTATTAATTAGTAGAGAGTGTTGTGGCTTGCTTGGACCTTGGGTAAATAGTCATTGAACAACTTGCAGAAAATGCTGGTGTTCCATCGTTATTAGACTGGAGAGGATTCAGTCTGTCATCCTGATTTTACTAAGTTCAATGTCTGCCAACACTTAGCATGCACATGATCAATATTTTAGCCTTATTTTTAAAATTTTGTGATTAAAAAGCACTGAAAGAATCTTTTCTGGTGCCAAATTGAAAGTTTAAAAATAAAGTTATAATATGCCTAAATCAAAAAAAGGCACAAGGAAAATCGATGTCACTCCTGAAATCCACTCCTTAGAAAGGTGCAGCAACCACTACTCAAGGTTTAGGCACTAATTTGGGCCTGGGAAAGCTGAGCTCAACTTTCTGCTCCACACTGCAGACAGGGAAGCAGTGAGGCTGCTCTAACACATCACTTCCCTGCACGGCAAATGTCACTGGCAGTACTGTCATAGCCCTCCAACTGAGGGCAGCAATAAACATGGAAACAGAAGGCAGGGAAAAACCTCCATGGTCACGTAAAACCTTCATAATTACCCCTCAAATCACAACGTCTTCTCAAAACCATCCCTGCTTCTTGCCTTCGCTAGTTTTTTGGAGGACTATCAATGAAGGAGAGCAACAGCCTCAGTACTGTAGTAGAGGTACCAAAAGCAGGCAACAATAATCATACAGTGTGTGTTGTTGGATGTCTGACTAACACTATGCCTTTCTGAAGTGCCACGTAGGTAAAGACATCAAAAATCACATCATCTTTCATAATGGTAGGACTTTCAAAAGCCACTCAGTGATACCTGGCAGGCAAACCCCTGTTATCAATTCACTAGTGAGCACAACAGTGAAAAAGCCTCAAGTTCCTCAGACTTGGTGAAGAGCAAGTACGTGGGTAACAGTAAGCCATGCACTGTTCATCGGTCTTTGGCTCTTGCTGGTCCCTGCCTTCCTGACAGCCTGCACCTTACCTATTCAGGTGTCTGCAGGAGGTGAAACTTAGGACAAGCAATTTACAATTAACTCCATTTTTACTTGGAAAAGGATGACATTAACAGAAAAATTAAGGGATTTGTCATGCAAATAGCAGTGATTTACAGCCTTGGTTTGGAGAGATTACATCAGGCTTTCAGGGGCCTGAATAAGCTCCATGAGCCCAAAGGAGGGAGGGGGAGAGACCAAACCCTGACATATAAAGCAACAAAGCTCCAAGAAGTCCCCAAAATCCCTTTTGACCATTTCACCTGCTGCGGCCACAGGTTCAGCTCCAAGCTTGGAGGTGCATTTCCACCAGCATCCATCCTGCTCCCGTCCCATGTTGCCGAGGCAGGAGCCGGACAGGCGAGGAGGCATCATCCCCACGCTGACGCCTGTCATCCTGTCAGCCTTGACCTTCAGGCTGTCCTCAGCATCCGCACCGCAGCTCGCCTGCACTTCCCCGCTGACTGCGAGCGACTGTTGTCTCGCTGCCTGACCTTATGCAAACACGATACAAACAGACAGCCCACCTCAGCTCCATCACTGTCTGCTGCTAATACAGGAGATTGATAGCCACATGAAATTATCTCCCTCCTCGACCTTCATTACTACTAGGTGGCATATTCTGACTGACAGCCAACCTCATTCTGGGGAAAGCTAAACCACCCGTTTGGGGTTTTTGGACTGTGTAGAAGTGAAGGAACGTCCTTCTGCAAAGAAAATCAACACTTCCTCAGTTTTGAAAGAAAAAGAAGTCTTTTTTAAACAGAAAAAATGCCTTGTAACTCAAATCTTTCCCAGACCTCTTTGCATACCAATAACAACACAATGCATGGATGGTCTGCTGCGTCCTGGGTGCTCCCACCTCAACAAAGTTTGCGAGAAAGTTTTCAGCTCTTCCAATAGCTGTATGTTTCCTGGGGAAAGCATGGCCAGCCCTAAGGCAACGAGCAACGTATGGATGCAACAGGTGGGAGGAAGGGACGTAGCTAAAGCGAACCCTGCTTTACACACGTGGCAACTGCCAGTAAGGACTGCATGGGTAAATATTGGCTTTCTGTCGCTCTCCGCCAGCCAGCTCGCAAATGCATGATGCATGTGGCCTAAACAGCTTTCTGAAATGAAATCATGACTCTCCTGCTCAAATACTCAGATTTCTCACAGTACACACGAAAGACACGGAGTCGCGTTTTCTCTCAGACCCCCTGCGGTCCCTTTTCGTGACCTCCAGATAGCAGAAGACAGAAACCACACTGCAGTCTCTGTACCAAACTTTTGGGCATTACACAGAGTCTGCCCTCAGTGAGAAAGTGCAACACCACATCCTTGCAGATGCAGCACAGAGCCTCCCGTGATCCCCATGCAACAGTGAGATAGCAGCGACCAAGAAGGAAGATGAGCCTTCAGCCTTCTGATATGAAGTCAACCATCAGCTAAAGACAGCTAAGTCATAGCAAAACATCTCATTCCTGCCTCAGAATATCTTAAATGAGTTACTCGAACAGCTCATCTGAGACTGAGCTGTCCCTTTGGCAGTGCCCAGCAGTCCCCCAGCATGGCTCAGCAGCACAGGCACGGGACAGGGGTCTACACACCGTGTGGGTTTTAAAGCAAGACATTTTCCAGAGCCCATAGCTCCCCAGCCCCATAGGGAAGGAATGGTGGGGTGTCACTTCGGCTTATCCTGTCAGATACCTCCTGCCACCAACCCTGATGAAGAGGAAGGTCCAGCTCTGGGTGTGCTGGGCTCTGTGAAGAGGCACATGGGGTAGCCGTGACCAGCCTCCAACCTCCTCTCTGTTATGGGCCACATGAGCTTTGAACCCCAACCCATCCCTACAACAGCCTCCTGCTGGGATGAGCCCTGTGATGGAAGAGGGGTGATGGGAGCAGCCAGTTTTACACACCTGGTCCCATCGCATGCCACGTGAGCCATCTCAAACACACATCTAAAACTCAAGGCCCTGACCCCTAGGGGACTTGGGTGCCCAAATGCCATCCAGCGTCCAGGAGAGCGCACGACCCGAATGCCAGTGCCACAACGCAGGGATGCCAACTGCCCAGTGTGCTCAGTGACCGAGGAGCCCGGTGTCCTCTACAACACACTTCTGTGCACTGCCCACTTTTGCTTACCTTTTCGGCTCTGGATTCGGCTGGGATTTGGAATCTTTCCTTTTTTTGGACTCCTTTTTGGAATCCTTTTTTGTCTCCGCTTCAGCGGCAGAGGCATGAGACACTTTGCCCCCCTCGCCGTCTGCACTTGGCTGTGACCCACCAAGTAATTCTGCCATGTGTTGGCTTGGGGGAGTGATTGAAACGCGGGGGGCAAGGCCAGCAGCAAAAGTGAAAGAAACAAGAAAAAGCATGAAAAAATTCAAAATAAACCAAAAGAAAACTAAACTGAAACAACTGAAATCCAAGAACAATTTGCAAACAAGGAATGAACAGGCAAAAGAAAGTCAGAACTAAAAAAGAAACTAAGGAAGCAAAAACTCGGTTTCCATGACAAGATGTATGAAAGTAACTGCAAAAGCAAGCGGCAGCCTTGCAATGTGAAACCTGGGCAATGCATGTCATAATTCAGGATGGTATTTACCAGAGGGTTTATGAAAACATGTAATTATTTTATAACATTCCTTTCTTCAGCAGCATATGCAGGATAGAGAGTGATATCTCAAAGTGTATAATACAACTTAACAGGAAAACAGAAGAAAGAGAAGCTGCAATAGATGCTACAGCTGTCAACAAAGCACATAGAAAAGGAAAACGCACAGCTCCAGTTCCTCCCATCAAAGGTTTGTCACATTTGAGAGAAAGGAACGGGCTACGTCTGAAATTGGAATTGCTTTGCAGCAGAGCAAGATAAAACCTTCAGTTATGTCTAAGCATTTGCCAAACTGACGTCACATGGACTTTAAATGAGACATGGGTGCCCCAAGGGCTTAAAGCCCTTCTGAACACTGAAGTTTGATACTGCTGAAAATTTCACTGCTGCAACTTGTCAGATCTTCTCGCACAGCAATTAAATCAGCACAGTGTATCATTTACTTCTATTTATTCAACCCGTGGCAGTCACATGTACTTCAACTCTATTGTGTCCAGAACTGCATCTAGCAGGTGCCTGCATAAGAAAGCTAAAACCCCTCATTTCTGGATCCTCTACGTGCATTTTTATTGCTTACATTAAACAAGCAATGAAACAAACAAACAAACTGACTATGCCACTAGAAGTGCTGCTGCCAAACATCCACTGTGAAAACAAATTGGGGACTGTTGTGCATTATCCAAGGAAACCTATATTTGACAAAGTCATCCCTTGCTGGCAGGGAGCTGCTAGCCAAGAAGAATTCCTTACCTGTTGCCATGAACATGTGATGCACAAAAGGCAAAGCTGTAGTGAAGTAAGGTGGGGTCAATCATAGCTCCGTTTTCTGCGCGCTCTAGCAAATCTCTGAGGTAGCAGAGATGTCTGTGACAGCCTCTCACTCCATTACGTGCACAATACTCATCTAGCACAAAGACCTGGCCAGGACTAAACCAGCCCTGTTTAGAAATAAAGAGACTTGATTTTAAATATAAGTTATTAAATACAAAGGCTATCAGCTTTGGAGGTGTAGTGGTCAACTGTTCTAATAAAAGAAATAGAGACCTAAGGCTATATTAAGGAAAAAGGAAAGAGGTCACTTAAACAATACAATCTGTACATCATCACCCAAACAGAGCATAAACTCAGAGCAACTGTTGACAGAAATGCATTATGCTACCATTAAAGGGAATTGTCATTTAAAATGCTGGAAAGTTAGGCCAGTTCTTATCAGTACCTAGCAAAAAAAAGTAAAAATAAAGGGAGAAAAAGGCCTTTAAGAGATGGCAAAGGTTTGGTTATTTAAACAGTGTGAAACAGTAGTCTCATTTCAGGGATGGGGTTGTACATTTGGCCAGGAGCAAGGCTGATCGGGGGGAGAGCTTGGAGGATTACACTGAACAATGGCTTCTCTTGCATCTGGTAGGGAGGGACGTCCTGCAGACAGAGGAAGGCAGCTCCACAGTATCAGAGAGAGGGATGCTTCCTGCCATCCTTATTGCGCACCGCTGGTGGTGCACTCCACCACTGCCCACCTCCTCAGCATCGAAGCAAGGGGAAGCTCTGCTCATGAGCAGGGATTCTTTACGCATCCAGAAGCCTCAGACTATTTCTGTGTGCCAGTCCTGAGGGCAACACATGGCTTGTGGTGCAACGTCCAGGCTCCCAAGGAGGATGCCCTTCCCGATGAGGGGATGGCTCCGATGAACATCCCGGGACAGCCGAAGCGGAGCGCACCTCTGCCTTTGGGAAAGGCACTAGTGAGAACAAGAATAATCTTGTAGATTGCTTTTCAAAACGCTGCAAAACCATCAATATTTACATGGGAATTTGGGTGCTAAACAATTGCTAAGACGCAGCTCTGGAATGCATCAAGCTGCAAAATCTTTCATCGTTTAATTGAAAAGTTCCTGCAGCGGGCGGGAGAGTAGTTGAGGCAGAGCACTGCCCCTATAGGCAACTTCTTTGCCACCCCATCTGTTACCCCAAATGCTACATCTTAGAAACAACACTGCTGTGAAAGATTAAAATATATTTTCTACCACTCAGATGACACCAAATCTTTTCTAGATGCCAAAATAGCTGCTTTGAAAAGAGTTGAAGAAATATCAATTAAGAGCTCAAAGACATAGAGAAGGATTTGCTCATCCTTATTGGGCCAACTCCAAAACAGATTGAGAAAAGAATTAAAATAATGAGGGGAAAATGATAGATATAGGGAGTAGCTACAGTGCTGGGATCACTAGAAGTGCACGTTTCAAAACGAAGACACAGAACAATGCAGATGGGACGGCACTCTGGAAGGCTATTTTTTGGGAGGGGTATATTTGCCTCCACTGCTTTTAACGGTATTTTTGTTTGCTTTTTTGGTTGGTGGTATTATGCTTGATTCCAGATTTCTTTTCCTTGCCTGTTTGTTACATCCTTGGACTGTCTCTTCACCTTGTCTCTCTTCACACAAACCTTTGGCGATCAGGCTTGGTAAAAGCATAGAAATGCTGTGATTGCTCCGCAATAGAAAGACGTGTGTATTACTGGGGTAGAAATGCAGTTGAAATTGTTATATTCAGCCAATACATAAAAAGGACTCAGTCCTCCCTAATGGGGTGAAATCTTGGCCCTACTGAGATCAACGGGAAGGCTGGTACTAATTTCACTACAGCCAGTATCAAGCCCAGAGTCTGGGGTGAAGGAAGCAGTGATCCAGAGCACCCCACATTGCTCCCCTGCATTGGGGTCTGAAGTGCTGGTCCTCAGGCAGACAGAAGGGACGGGGGCAAACACTCAAGATTGCTGCCATGGTTAAATGAGGGCAAGTGTGAGCAGAAGCTCAGAGGTTCAGTGACGAGCCTCATACCTCGTGAGAGCACAGGCAAGCAGACTGTGGGTGCAGAGATCCAGAGCTCAGGAGGACCAGGTGGTTGTCTTTTGCATGGCAGAGGTAGGAAATATAAAACCTGCTGCTGAATGGGGCTCCAAAGGAGCAGTAAATGCTGCTTCCCACAGCCCAGAAAAAAACCCTAAGGTTTGATGAAAGGCGATATTCAGACAAATCCCCCAGATCTTCAGGCAGATCCTGGCTCTTGATTAAGATTTGCCTGGCGCAACCAGCTGACAACCAGCCAGTCTGGCAAACGCAGCTGATAGTGATAACACACCGGGTGTCTCTCCCCAGTGCAGTTAGGTGTGTGTAGCTCAGCGTGGTCTCCCAGATGGTCTTCAGTGGGATGAGGAAACCTGGAGGGGGCAATGGAGGGAGGCTGCAGAGCACAGGGAGCTCCACTGATGGTGTTGAACAAGCTGAACTGCACCGAGAAGGGGGCACATGTCCCAAGCACCAGCAGAGAGTGCGATGGGAATTTTGGAGCTGGGTAAAGCCACGCTTGGTCAGGGTTGGTGAAACACTGGCAATTCTTTTAATGACAAAGGCAGCTTTTGCTTTTTCACTTTTCAGTACCTGAATTTTCCCATTTACCATAGGAAAAGCAAAACAATTTCATTTTGGTGTCTTTCTTCATAGACCTTTGAACCCTGACTCCTTCACATCATCTCAGCTAGGATGGGAACTCTGGAAGATGACCTTTCCTCTGCACATGCCATGCTGTGTTATCCAAATCCCACAATGATGACACATCGTGGGCAATACAGCTCCAGCAGGGACCCAGCTGTGTGAGCCAGATGCCAGCAGCAGGTTGGGAAGCCTTGGGAAGAGCTGAAGGGCAGTCTCAGAAACAAGACATGTCCAAGTGAAAAGAATGAAGACCCATGAGTGTGGGGTCCGCAACAAGCTGGAAGGGCTGCATACTCTTCCCAAAAGTCCAGGAAGAGTTGTGAATGTGACTGTGCTGCTGGTTTGTGGATGATGGGCAGCAGCCCTTGGCAAGCTCTGCAGACAATGCTCTTCCCCTTCCCCATCATGGTGCTCTCTGGCTGGCAACACCACTTCTGCCATAGCTGAGATGCATCAGCAGCCTGTTTGTTTTCATAGGGATGCCTGGCTCAGTCAGCAAGCGGGCTTGCAACGACGTTGTTTAACCTGGTTCCACAGGAAGGAGGTGATGCTGAGTTATCCTCTGTGTCAGGGTAAGCCACTGTGTCTGGGTAAGTCTTCCCTGGCACCTCCATGTCCACTTTTGAAAGCATGAAGAGGTGTGACGAGGCAAAACTCTGCGGGACCTTGCATGGGAATGTCCTGTAGGGAGAATAACAATAGCCCAGCAGCACACAGAGTGGACAGAGCAGGCTCACCACGGGCTCACAGCTCACCCAGGCAAGCCAGTACAGTGGTATCACCAACCTCGCAAAGACACAGCAAGAGCAATGGGAGGTCTCAGCAGCTGAACTCAAATTTTGGGGTCAGTCTGACTTTTTTACCATAATCAGGACAAACCCGAGTAAAATAAGTATAGAAGCATGTGAAATCCAAGTGTAGTTGAACACGGGCCATTATTCTCTTCTTTATAACACTCTGCAATGGGTGATTTGAAAGAAGATGGTTAATGGGCGATGCTCCGCTCGAAGAGGCAGAAGTCTTGGTGCTGAGGGGAGCTCCAGCACTCCGGTGGCTTCCAGCAAGGGCCTAAACATCTCGATAACAAGCAGAAGCTTGGCTGGTGGGTTTCTTGAAGAGAAACATCGTTAATCATTTTCAGTGATGGCCTTGCACCTCTCCATGAATTTAATTCTATGGCCACTCTCACCAGGCCTGAGACTGCACAGAGACAAACCAGCTGCAAGCCAACCTGTCAGACATGCATGAATGGGGATGGTCTTCCTAGGGTCAGCCATGCGTGGGGAGCAGAAGCTGCATGCCAAATTCACTGCCTGCCCGAGCAAAGACCTCGATGGAACTGGTGAGAATCCTGCTGCAGGTCTGACAATGTTCCCATCAAGCCTACTCGTACCACTTAGGTATCTGTGAGTAAAGTGCACGCTGCAGCCTTCCCCCACCCCATCCTTACCTCAGGGGATGTCCACAACCGTTCCTCCTAGCCCTGCCTCTCGTCAGGAAGGTGACAACTTGCTACTTCTAATGGCATTTACTGGATCTCAGCCTCAGGAGATCATCCCTTGCATGCACCATGGTGAAGGGGGACATGAAGGACAGGATTTGAGACTGACAGCCTCATCACCAACTGCTCAGTTGTGTTCCCAGGTCGCTGCTTTTAACAGCAAGCCACCCAAGAGCCCCAGTTTCAGGGACTGCACGGCTGGCAGAAGATGAAGGCTATCAGCATGTGGTGGTCCTTTTGCTGAAGGACCCCATGAAGACACCCCAGCGTGGAGGCTTCTGTGCAACACTAGGAGGGCGGCAGGTCAGGATCTGTCCCATGCCACATTCAGGACAGGACGTCCATTTCAGGCCCTTCTAGAAAGGCTACATCCTGTGGTTTTCTCAAAACCTAAGAGCCTCTTCATCCTCCTCATTCAAGTTGTATTATGGCTTATTTGTTACTTAAACCTGCACAGTACCTAAGAGCCCCCAAGCACTGCACCTCAGCCAACGACTACAAGCTGTCCTGGAGCATCTCAGTGCCACTGTCCTATAGGCCACGTTACACAGCAGTGGATTGAGAGCTGCACCCTGTGCTCATGAGAATAATCAGGATGGGCATGCGACTACGTGAGCATGGCCAGGCTGCAGCATCACTGCAGTTATCCACCTAGTCCCATCTGTAACCTGCTTGGGATCCCTGCTTATGAAGAGACAAAAAGCTGGGCCACAGTTATTCCTGGTGGGACTCCATTGACATGAGAGGTGGTACCAGACCGTCACCTTTCCCCTGTTCTTTCATCCAGAAGACTCTGGAAGGCAGTGCAGGAGGCTGCAAAACACTGCTCTCTACTTCACATCCCCACACTGGAGTTTGTACTTCGCAGGAAGAAACATTTTAAGCATTGCAAACAGAAATGATAGAGACAGTGCAACTGGAGAAGAACAGCAGTCAGTTCACTGCAGGTAGCCTCTCAAAAGAAAATACCTCTGGGCCAAATTCAAACCTGGTCTTAACGGAAGTAAATCTTCCAGCAACAGGGGGATTAGCCCCTACTTGCACTAGCTTTGACTTTGCTGCTTGATGTTTATATCACTAGAGACCAAAGAATATACTTGCCAGACAAGAATAGGAATCATTAAGTCTGTGGTCCAAAGTGAGGCGCTGAACCATCTCAAAGAGTGAAGCGTGGTCAAAGTTACAGGGATTGGAAGAGATAAATTCATCCATGCCATGCTTTTGAGCTCTATCTGCATCTGTTCGTTTATACATATAGAGAAAGACACCATTTAGAGAGATATAAGACATTTTAGTTGACAAATACAACAGAAAAAAAATATACAGTATGAAGCATGAAAGCTAAATCCTCTTCCCTACATTGGCGTTAACTTTTCTCTTTGCAGGCTGCACAGCACACTTTTCACCTCCCATTGTCAACTTGCATCGGTTATGGGCTATCTTGTTGCATTTAGGCAAAAGATTTTAGAATTAAATTGTCAACTGCTCATTACAGCACATTTACTCTGTACTTCAAACCAGAACACAAACCCAAGAACTTACTCTGCATCTTACAATACGCTACGAGTTAACGGAATTTTGGCTCACAGAAGTAAATTAGCTCCTATTTAGAGAGTTGTGGTTAATTATAATAGATTCTGCCATTCTAATGAAGTTACAGCTGTAGCATTTTCCTCTACATTTACTACGTTTTCTAGGTATCAGACCAGTTATGTTGTTCTTTATCCAAATGCCAATGTTTGTCTCCCCACGGCAATTTTTCCTCCCCTAATGGCAACTTTAAATGCTACCTCACCGAAATCAAAAGATGCTCTTTTAAGCATCGCTAAGAAGTTAAATTGATATGTAGTTTGTTGTCACTGAGGCAGTAACCCGGAGCTGCCAGTCATCCCGACAGAGGGACTGCATTTCCTCTGCCTGGATTACGAGCTGCCATTTTTGGGTGAATTAACAGCCTCAACGTATTCACACTTCTCTGCTTTGGGTGACGTTTACGGGCACTAACTCCTAGGGGCTAATTAATTAATCTCAACATGGTTAACTAAAAATACACCGAATTCAGCAGTTGAAATGAAGCCGCCAAGCCGGCCTGGGTGCGGCCAGCCGGGACCCTGCTGGGAGCAGGCTTTGTTCTACCAGCGGCCGGGGAATTAAAGGACACCTTTCACTCGGTTTTGTCCGTGCTCAGCTTCCTACTATATGGGTTCTTGCCAAATCCTCGACAAAGAAAATAGGATTTAAATCCTTCCCCTGTTTATAGCCTCCTAGGGGAACTGGGTGGCCTTGGAACAATGTGGCTGAAAGGACACAAAAATGCAGTTTTCCTGCAATAGCAGTATATGGTAACTGTATTTGTTTTAAAACAAAATCCCTCTTCACCAGAGAAAAACAACAAAAATCCTTAATTTAAAAAAAAAAGAAATAAAAAAATAAAAAGAGCTTTAAATGACAATGAGACAGTGTTCTATTAGATGTGTTTTACTATTTAATATTAAGTTATGAAGGATGGCATGTCTTCCTAAATACCTTGTTCATGTCTGCGCTCTCGGATACTACTGATCATTGGAAGCAATCTTTACATTTTCTGTATAGTCTGTCGTTAGCTATATACAAACTATATAAATAACATCACCCACTGGAAAGAAATCAGACAAATTAAAACATGTAACATTTCAATTAGCTGCTAGCAGTATTTAATTCAGCAGTAGCTGGCAATTTTCCTTATTAAAACCCTGCTGAATAAACACTGATTTTTTTTTTTCCCTATAGCTGGGTTAATATCTGAGGGTCTGTTCCCCTGTTTTGCTCCGTGCACTGGGTCCTGCTACCTCCCTCCTTAGTTCAAATCTTCCCTCTCTGCCTCCACGGACAGGTCCATGCATTCAGCATGGGGATGAAAAGCTGCTGATGGTGCCAACTGATGTGACAGCACGAGGGCTGGCTCGGGGGACAAGGAGAACCATGACCTCCCCGGCCCCTCTTCAGCATCCTTGGGTGTGGGATGCAAAGCCCACCCAGCCTTGGGTCTCACAGCATGGACCAGCTCCTGCCTGTTCCGACAGCTTTCTGCCTTATCATCTCTGTCCCTTTGGGCCAAGATCAATGTGATTGCCCTCGCTCCCAAAGAGTTTGTCTATGCTGGTTTTGATTCCATCCCTACTGTCCACAAAATGTTTTAACAGTTATTATCAGACTATTTTTAATGGCTTGCTGCTCTGCCCGGCTCCTCGGAGTTGACTGCAAGCTGACAAATTGGCTGGAGGCCTTCATTTGCCAGCTTCACTCAGAGATTTTATTACTTTTCAATTAGGAGCCCTGATACACTGTCAATCCTCCTGCTCAGCCAAAGAGGCTCCGAGAGCTGAGTAAATCAGCTGGAAATTTGAAGAGTCCTCTAGCCCTTTAGCTGGTGAACTTTTTTGAGCATATGTGCTAGAAAGCATGTTTGAAATGGATATTTTTTTACTCCAGACTAATAAGCTTTTCCCCACTTAATGTTCTCTGAGCAAAGGTGAGCACTGAGCAGACCATAGGTTGGTGTGAACCAACTGAAGCTCTGCTCGCTTCCATGGAGCTGAGGGTCTGTCCTGGGCTTTTTAAGATCTCCCTGCCCAAGGCAGGGGCACAGACAATTCCCTGCCAAGTGTGAGAACAGACACAGTGATTAAACAGCCTTCAGTACTGTCCATAATCAGGGGCCATTTTACTTGCATTAATCACTTTGAAACCACATCTTACTGAGCATCCCTGCTCAAAAGCCCATCTATCCCAAATCTCCCCACCTCAGTACAACCACATAAAAAGAGACACTTCAGGCACAGCACTGCATGAACTCTAGTGACCAAAAAAGTACGAGCTGCACAGCTTCTGCTTGGTCAGTGGTTTAAAACGTGGTTTTGTGAGCAGCCACAGCTCTCCTTGCAGCAGCCCAGTGCCACAGTTGTGCCTGGTCAAACCATTTTGCATTGCAAGAGCTGGGTGGATGCAAACCACTCACTCAGGGGATAAGGCTGGCAGGGTGAGAACTGGAGATGTCTTTGGAGGATGGTAACACACACATGTATTTCTCTTACATGGAATATATGCCCTGAGCCAGATGCTTGAAATTCTTCAGAATAACTAGGAGCAGGTTAAAAAGGACAATCCTAAACTCACCTTATAATTAGAAAATTACACCCCATGCATCCTGCAGTTTATTATTGCATTTTGATTTTTCCAATGGACTTGCTTAAAAAAAAAAAAGAAATTTAGGACTCAAATTACAGGAAATGAAATTACACCAAAGGCATGAAACTTCCTAGGTAATATGAAAAGAAAGAGAAAGATCTAAATATATCATTTCTCTGCTCCAGAAAGCTGATCTGTGATTTAAAATAATGCCAACATCTGCACATGAAATAAGTTTTTACGTATAATCAACCTTCTTCCAAAATGGCCTGTACAGTTTGAATGAGATTTTAAACAAAATACAAAATAAGAATGGCCAATGTTCACACCCCAAACTGTACAGCTAATTTGTAAGTACTTTAACTGTTTCAGTCAAATACGGTTGCTTTTATGACCCTGCTCTGTTGTTCTAGCTAACAAGAAAGGAGAAACCAAAGAAAGAAAGTTATATGATGCTCCAGTAATTTACAATCCCTTCCCAAGGTGCTGTGCCAAGCTCGCTGGTGCTTCTTTGTTCGGGGCCCCAGACAAAATGCTGCTGCAGGCCCACAAAAGTTATCTTACATATTTAGACAAGCTGCACACAACTGCAGCTGAAAGGTGTTCGATGGTGGTCTCGGAAGGAAGGGAGGCTGCCAGCGGAGGCTAATGGGCAGCACAGGCTCCACGAGCCTTTCTTCTGGGAAACTGCAGACTCTGCCCTTTTATATTACACGTGGTCACCTACATTATGGTCTTTTTTACAATGCTGCTGGGTTTATTTTGTTCATTTTTATCCAGATCACATTTTACACTGACTCGATTAAGCAGCCCCCTGTCACACACACACTCCCTACGAGCATCTGCAATCAGAGTCTTAAATTTATCTGCAAGTGTCAGGAACACAAAGATTTCAACAATAATGAAAACAACAATAATGAAAACCAAAGGACTGTCCCACCATTCGGTCCTCTGAGGGCTGTACTTCTCTTGATCTAACTTATTTAAAAAGGAAGAGACAAAACAGTCAAACCTCCCATTCTTTTCTTTTTAAAATGTATTTCCCTGCCCTCTGCATTTCTTTTGCTCCAGCAACAATTTTGGCAGAATTTGCTCTGAGAGCAGTGAAGTTAATAGCGGGGGACAAGCTCCATAAAAGAATTCTTGTTATAAAAGGCTTTAGGTAGCCATTTTATTGTAAGAATTTCTTGCTCCAGATTTATTTCTTTTTGCTAATGAGTGACTTTGATTTAGTACCAAAGGCAACTGAACATCCAGGAAATTGTACAACACGTTTGCTTATTAAAAACAAAACCAAAAAAAAAAAAACCAAACCAAAAAACCCCAACAAACAAAAAAACCCCGGACAACTGTAAATTAAAAGGTGACTTTGTATCTTACTCATCTGGAAAATGTGTGCTTGTCATATCTGCTTGACATTACAAGAATGAAGATGTGGTTTGGACAGTAACAAACAATGACACTAGTCAACCTCATCAGGAGACATGAAATAAAGGAATGACAATGATTGATGGCAGCTATTCATTTACAGATATTTCTAGAAAACTCTTCACTGGCCTGGCTGGGCAAAGCAGGAGAAGTTTTCCAGCCTGGTCCAGCGTGCCCACTGCATCGGCTGCGCGCTCCTCTCCCGCTCTCCCTGCTTAAGCAGAGCTAACGGGCACACTGGGGCTGCCTCTCCTTAAATGAAATACCCAGGGGAAGCACCTAGAAACCTCATGTTCTTCGGCCGTGTGGAGCGAGAGGCTTTACTAGTAATACCACTGTTCTAGAGGGGGGAAAAAACCCCAAACCCACATCAGGACTTTAAATGTCAGGTTGTTGAATGCACGTGAGCTGCTGGCAGTGCCGGCTGGTGACTTACCAAGTCCCCTCCTCGCCGTGCACTGTGGCATTGCCACCTCTGAAAGTGATGTGCGTGTCCCTGTGTGTGTGTCTGGGGCTCTGCAATCCTCCTCCCTGCTATGAGCCGTGGCAGCGGGCTGAACTCGCCTCTCAGCTGGATAGCTAAAAGCTCTTTTTTCTCTCCCTTCATATTATTATTCCACATTAGAAGATAGCTCTAAATTTA